CCATGTGGGTGCTAGGAATTGAACCTGGATCCTCTAAAGAGCAACCAGTGCTCTAAACCAGTGAGCCATCTCTCCAGCCCCTTTGGATAAGTCTTAATTTGAGGTGAGGCTCAGTTATGGACTTTGTCCTAAATATCCTGTATCTCCCTCCAAATAAACCTTTCATTCCTGTATTAGCCACATTAGTGGTAATTACTTATTTTGTTTGCTGAGGTTTTGTAATCTACTTGCTACTAGCTGTATAGACCACTGTGAGTTTGAATGAGAATGATTCTCATAGGCTCATGTTTGAGTACTTGGTTTCCAGTTGGTGGGACTGTTTGGGGAGGAGTTGTGTAAGATGTGTAGCCTTGTTGGAGGAGTTGTGTCACTGGGAGTAGGCTCTGAGGTTTCAAAAGCCTACCAATTCCCGGTTAGCTATCTGAGTCAAAATGTAAGCTCTCAGCTATTGCTCCAGTGCCATGCCTGCTGTCACCATCCCCCACATAAGCCATGATAGTCATGGACTCACTCTCTAAAACAGCCCTCTTTCTTCTATAAATTGCTTTGGCCATGGTGTTTTGTCATGGCAACAGAAAAGTAACTGAGACATCTACTCACCTCTTTATTAGCAGTGCCAACTGAAATTCTTGGCAAGTGTCAGTTAATTGTTGTTTAAGTAAGTATCTGGAATCTATAGACCTCCCAACCCTTAGAATGCATGCAGTGGCTGCATCTTTTCTGACTCCACCAAACTTCCTTGAGTATGCCTTCTAGATGCAAGGTGTCAGGTGGATGGAGTGATGATTGTGTAGATGAAGAAAAGAAGTTTAAGCCTTGAAATACTTACCCCTTTCCCCACTCAATTTGATTCTGAACCTCCCCACCCCCGATTAACCTTGACCCTGCAGGTCTAAGCTCTTGGCACCCCCTGAGACTGGGTGGCTGTCAAAGGGTTAAACAGTCTTTTATGATATGCAGACTTTTTAAAAATTCCATTCTGACTGCTTCTTGGGAGGCTTTCCTCTCTTCAGGAGACAATGAAATGAGCTGAAGCTCTGGGTGTCTTGGGTGTGAGCAAGCCTAATCTTATTAGTCCTAATTTTGAAGATCTATGGTCAAGTAAGACAAACAAAAATTAAAACATTCAAAACAGATTAAAATAATATCAAAGAACTGACCAAATTAATGAAGTTATGACATCATTTTTTTTCAAAGAATAAATGTATTTAACAAGTTTCCATGAGAGGGTTAACATCGGCTGTTAGAATGAGGGCTAGAGAGAGGACTCAGAGATTAAGAGAAATGGCTGCTCTTCCAGAGGTCCTGAGTTCAATTTCCAGCAACCCACATGGTGGGCTCACAACCATCTGTAATGAGATCTGGTGCCCTCTTCTGGCATGTATATACATAATAAATAAATAAATTTTTTAAAAATCAGTAATGAAAGCTGACTTGGGGGCTTGAGGTTTCTTAAAACCACAGGCTCCCACTGATATCTGTGATATATAAAAGACATATATATATATATATATATATATATATATATATCATATATATTTATATGGTTTTATTTATATATATATTGCATTTATATATCCATGTATATATATTCTTTTGAATATATGTTTTTCTTGTATGTATTGCTTTTGTTTATATATAATTTTTGTTCTTACATTTAGTATGTACGAGTGCAGGCACTTGGACACACATTTGGAGTTTCAGGGACTGAACTCAAGTTCTCAAGTTTGGTGGCAAGTACATCTACTCACTAAGCCACCTCACTGGCTTTGGAGAAATTGTGTTTCTTTTAATTCTTTCAAAATTAAAATTAAAAATTGAAAATCTGTCATTAGTTTCCTTAAAACTCCAGCTTCTTTAGCTTCTTTTTTTTGTTGTTGTTTTTGTTTTTGTTTTTGAAGACAGGGTTTCTCTGTGTAGCTTTGGAGCCTATCCTGGCTTTGGAGACCAGGCTGGCCTTGAACTCAGAGATCCATGTGCCTCTGCCTCCCAAGTGCTGGGACTAAAGGCGTGCACCACCAACGCCTGGCTTTTAGCTTCTTTTTCAATGATTTTTTGTAAGAAAACTCCAGATAAAACCCTTTCTACTGATGGCTATTACATTATCTTTTCATCTTTCACTCATTTGTTTGTGGATTTATTTTGGCAATGCTGGAGGTTTAACTCAGGGTACCTTGCACATGCTAAGCAAGTACTTTACTGCTGCCTATATACTATACTCTTTTGACAAATTTTGCTGAAGAAAACACAAGAATATTTTTAGTTTCCTGTCGACTCTAAAGCCTATCTATTTCAAACAGTCGGGAGACATAGTCACAAACATGCAAACAACTACACACATTTAAACATCTGCAATAATGGACATTCCCCTTGGCTTAGGGATTTTTTTTCAGCCAAATATATGTTGGTAATTTTTAAACTGCAGCAAGTTCTCTAAATTCCCTGTGGTTTGAAGTTGAATGCAATCGTTTTCTAAACCAGTTATAACTTCATTATTATAAGAGCAGCTTTACTTCATAGGTCTTGGACTGAAGAATGAGTAAATAGTCAAAGGTTGTTTTAAGTGGCATTTATCTAAATCAACAGAATGAGAAAGGTGACATGAAGAAAGGGGTATACTTAAGAATACATCTGCCACCTGTCTTGTGCCAGCTACTGATTTCTTTTTCTTGGCAGCATGCTGAGGCTTGGTGCCAGACTCTACTCAACCATCCAGCAGCAATCCATCACACCCAAAACGTGGACAAAGCCTGTTAAGCATTCATAGTGTTCCTGCTTGGCAAGTCACCCTTTTGTTAAATCTTTTATTCCTTTTTAATTTATTTTATTGTGTGTGTAATTTGGAACTCATGTCAGCAGGCTGCCTGTCTTTACCTGCGGAACATCTTACTGACCCCAGAATTTTCTTTTATTTTTTATGTGTATGACTGTATGAGTGTACGCCACGTGTGTGTGCTTAGAGGCCAAAAGAGGGAGTCAAATCCTGGTGCTGGGAACCAAAAGTAGGTCCTCTGTAAGAGCTCTTAACTGCTCAGCCATCTTCCCAGCCCCCTCAATTTCCTTTTAAATGCAAGCATATTAAAATCAATTATTTGATTTTATTTTTCCAGACAGTTTTTCTATGTGACAGCCCTGGCTGACTGTCCTTGAACTCACTCTCACGGAGATCCACCTGCCTCTGCCTTCTGACTGCTGGGATTAAAGGTGTGTGCACAACAAATGCCCTGTAATCCTTTGCTTTTAACACAACCCGAAATAAAGAAACTTGAACTCCAAGTATAAAAGAGACACGAAATGCTAATATTAGGTGCTTCATCACTTAGCAACTCACCAGGAAGAGGCATAGTTGTTCTGCTGTTGTTTTGTTTTTTTTTTTTTTTTTTTTTTTTTTTAATGGTCTTGTCAAGCAGCCTTGACCATACACAATTTATTATTTTGGTTTGGTTTTTGAGAAAACGTATCACAGTGCAGCCTAAATTACAGGCCTCTATCACCATGCCCAGCCAGACACAAGTTTGTTGTTGTTTTACCAGTGTTTAAGTGATTGCTGATTTTATGATTAGAAACCAGTATTGACCAAAATGTTAAAGTATAACTTAGACTCCCAGATATAGATTCTTATGTAAGGCTCCTATTTTAGTGCCAGTTAGAGTCAGAATTAGCACACAGTCTTCTGACAAACCAGGTCACTTCAAGCATTACAACATAGGACTGCATTTGCTATGTTCCAGGGATTGTACCCATTGCATACATTATTTTATATCCTCAGAAACTTAGAGGTAGATACTATTATAATATCTACTTTACAGATCCAAAAGTTGAATTTTTCCATTGCATACATTATTTTATATCCTCAGAAACTTAGAGGTAGATACTATAATATCTACTTTACAGATCCAAAAGTTGAATTTTAGATAATTTAAGTAGTTTATCCAAGGACATACATATTGTGGGTGAGCCAAAATGAAACATATACAATTGATTTCAGCTACAATATGCTACTTGTTTCTTCTAGAACAGTTGTTTTCAACTTGTTTTGACCCCTTGGGGGGTCAAACAACCCTTTCACAAGGGTTGCCTAAGACCATTGAAAACAAAGATACTTATAATATGCAATTGTAGCAAATTATAGTTATGAAGTAGCAATAAAAATAATTTTATGGTTGGGGGTCATCACAACACAAGGAACTGTGTTAAGGGGTTGAAACATTAGAAAGGCTGAGAACCACTGCTCTAGATGTTTGCCCTCTAGGATGGAAATGAATTCTACCAACTACCAGTGAGCCTGGGAGAGTACTCCAATAATTGTGTGAAACACAGCTCCAAGACATTCTGACTGTACCCTGATGACAGATAGCCTGAGCAGAAAAGTCAAGCCAGGGTATGCCTAAACTTTAGACCAACAGCAACTGTTGTTGCATTTGGCCGTCTCAGAGTTATCTCTTTCAACTGAAAGTTGAGTCTATGCTACAATATTGATCCGCCTAGCCTCAGCACTCCCAGTTCTTAGGCTAGACCTTTATGTAACTACATAGTTCTTAAAAAGTCTTGAGGGGGAAGGAGGAAACCAACCTGGCAGAATGAGCTACTGTGGAATACACTTGTATATTGTGAAAGTATAAACACATATGATTTCACCCAAGCATGTCAGTGGTTACCACCCAGAGTTGGGGCTGGAATAAGGGAACTGCAAGATGGAGACAGTTCTAGGGTACTAGAAGTGTTCCCTTTTTTATATGGGCACCAAATACATGTGTGTTTACAATAATTCTTTAAACAACGCACATGTTGTTGTTGCTATTTGTTTTGGTTTTGTTAAGTTTTTTGGTATATATTTAAACTAAAACTATTTTTAGAAAGAAAAGACAACAAATGGAAGTCAATAATGGTAAAGGGGTATCCTATCCACAACTTACTTTCAAATGGTTCATGAAGAATCATTATTATTTCATGAGAAAGGGGGAAAAACAGAAAAGAGAGGGGAAAAAAGACACTCCATGTGGCGTATTTTCATTTCCTTTTATTGAAGGAAATAGAAACTTGTGCTGCTGAGGCAACAGTACCTCTGAGCATGACAAAGTAGTCAGTGGCACTGACATGACAAGCCACAATGCTGGCCAAGCATCCTACCACAGTGGAAGAACCAAAACCACAAAGAAAGCAGGAGGTAGCAAATATCCCCAACACCCAGAGGAAGCATGTCCATTTGCAGAGAGCTTGGTCATGCATTTAAAAAGAGGGTACCCTTATCACTAGTAGCACATCATCTCAGATTTGGAGACCTTTTCTTTTGACTGAAATAGTTAAGCTACCAAATGAGTTCATCTTTCAGCTCCTGTTCCAGGTAGAAACAGGCTGAGGTCTTGAAATATAACCTAAGTATAGCTGGCCAGGTGCTGAAGCCCAGCCATATGCTAAAAGTAGCTGCACTTTTCCTCTGACTTCTCACACTGCTCTTACTCAGCATGTGCTCTAGGAAATCTCTCAGTGCTATAAATAAGATTTATAACAGAATGCAGGCAGCAGCCTAGGGGATGCAGGGAATCAAAAGCTGCTACATAGCTAAGACCATTTCACTAGAAATAGCACAGGGAACACTACTGGGTCATGGTTCTCCCAAACAGCTGCTAGAAGCACACACAAAGAAAAACATGGTAGTTCTCCCATGTCAGGATCAGCTGCACCAAGGTCATGGTTCAGGCAACAGAGCCACTTCATGTCCCTGGCAGATTATCAGGCCCCATGGCATTCTAAACTGTTATGGTTTTCAAATACAATGAGGTGTTTGGGCAATTTGGTCACAGAAAGAAAGCACTAAAGAAATTTCAACTGATTGCAAATTGATAATGCTATCAAACCATAAATTTATGTAGTCAAGAACTGATTGTAAGGGGTAAGGAATGGGATGGTTGAGATTTCTGTTTCGTAGAAACAGGTTTATTCAGGTAAACCCTTGCTCATTAAGTCACCTCCCCCATGCCCATGGATTAGAAGGGAATTCCTATTTAGAAATGGCTATTGCTGGATCAGTCATCCAGTTGCAGTTCTCTTCAGTGCTAGACAAATGGTTTCCAAGGATCAAAGTCTTGAGAGCACTAAATCAGGAAATGGGAGAAACAAGGCAAGGGGAAGAGGACATGAGGAATCGGAGTTCCCGAATTGAGTAGTTTCTTTCATAGAAGGCTTGGCACGATGATCTGGGGTGGATGTGGTTTCAGTGACTGTTCTTGGTTGCTTCCTTTGCTGCAGCAATCAGTGGAGTGAGACTGGAGAGGGGCTTGGCAATCTTTAGGAACTGATGCTAGAAGAAGAAAAAGCAAAACAAATATTATTTATCATTCTCACAACCTTTTTGGCTGGGTTTTTTGTTGTTCTTGTTCTTGTTTTTTTTCAAGACAGGGTTTCTCTGTGTAGCTTTGGAGCCTGTCCTGGCACTCGATCTGTAGACCAGGCTGGCCTCGAACTGATCCGCCTGCCTCTGCCTCCTGAGTGCTGGGATCAAAGGCATGTGCCACCACGGTTTGGCACTTATAACTATTTTAAGACAATAAGGGCATCCATGTCAGGTCATTCTCAAACTAAAGGAAAAATGTATATATATTACTCTGTGTGTGCGTGTGTGTGTGTGCGCGCACGCGCACAAGGTCATTCTCAAACTAAAGGAAAAATGTATATATATTACTCTGTGTGTGTGTGTGTGTGTGTGTGTGTGTGCGCGCGCGCGCAAGAACAACTTGCAAAAATCAATTCCCTTCACCATATAGGTACAGGGGAATTGACCTCAGGTTGTCAGTCTTGGCAGCAGTTACTCATACTCAGTAAGCTATCTCACTGACAAAGTATATAAGTTTTACTTATAATAGTTAATACCTGTAAAAAAACCCAAAGGAAGGGTTAATAGATTTATGTTCATATGACATTATACAGAATTTAACACAGTAATTGACACACTGAAAGCAAGATGAATCCATAGACTTTTTGTGTTTTTTTTTTTTGGGGGGGGGGATAGGGTTTCTCTATGTAACAGCCCTGGCTATCCTGGAATGTACTCTATAGACCACGCTGGCCTCAAACTCACAGAGATCTGCCTGCCTCTGCTGGGATTAAAGGCATAAACCACCACACCCAGCTCTAATCCATAGACATTTTGAGTGAAACAAGTAAGACAAAGAGTTCATTTTGTATGATTATATTTGTTCCTAGGTAAAATTAAACTATTTCAATAACAGAGTAACTATTATTTCTGGAGAAAACACTAGTATTTAGTCATAAAACTACAGCCTCAGCCTATTAACCAGGACTATAAGTATGAAACATACCTGGCTAAGAATCTTTTGTTAAATCCTTGACTCCAGCAAAGCTAAGTGTTCCAGTAAAGATTTCAATAGTTGGTCCTTTCCAAAACTACTTTCACAGAAATAGACTTTGAGCCATACTTCCAGTTAAAAAAAACATAAATCATATAAGAGAAAATACAATATGAAAATGTTATAGAAAACAATTCTTTATGTAACACAGAGCCTCTTACCTGAAACGGTAGGTTGTTTGGTTTTTGTTTTGCAATTGTCTTGAGGATATAGACTGTTTCTTCCATTTGATATAAATATCAGAGCTATATTTCTTTTTCTGATCAAATATTTATAATTATTTAACATATCTGGTTCTTCTACCATGCTTATAATAACTTTAATTAGTATTATTTTATATGTGTACAGACACATACATAGAGACATATACACATATATTCTTTGCTGAAAGTTGATTCAACTCTTATTGGGACAGATACAGGATATATAGAGGAACTGAGAACGATGAATGATCTTGGTTAAAGCTTGAAGCTATGAATCCCATATTGGGATTCTATCTACTTCTGTCTCATCCTATGTATTTCTGTCCATATGTGTATTCTCACAGAAGAAACAGATGTGAAACTTCGTGATTTAAGATTCTGAAAAGTTTAGGTTTTGAATATTTACCAGATAACACTGACAAGTTAAGCTAGGGTTGAGGTCCTATTTTTCTAACTCTTCTGAAGTAAGAAAGCAGTATCATCCAATACTCAACTAGGAAGCCTCCATTTACTTCTCTCAACAAAGTAAACTAAGTAAGTCCTATAAACCTTCTAGCTCTGACATTTTCTGAGTCTTCAGAAGCAGTGATCAAAAAGCATATATACTTGGCAAGCAAACAGACATGCTGAAACCCTGTATCCTCTATTTGTCAATTGTATAATCATACAAAAGTTATTACATGTAAATTTCCTTACCTGCAAACATGGGAATAACCAATTCTGTAACCTGTGGGACATGAACCCCTTGGGGGCCACATATCAGGTATTTATATTACAATTAATAACAGTAGTAAAATTATAGTTATGAAGTAGTAACAAGACAATTTTATGGCTGGGAGTCACCACAACATGAGGAACTGTATGAAAGGGATGAAGCATTAGGAAGGTTGAGAACCACTACCCCAGACTGCTGGGTTTTACATTGTTTACATGTATCCCAATAAAATATAACTTATACAAAATTAAACTTCTCAGAGAGCCACTTTTCAAGACCCAACTTTGACAGGCAAATTCAGACAAAATAAAACATGCCTGAAAGACAAAGAAAAAACTTCAAGAGAAGTTCAGAAAGTAGACTTTGAGTTGAGCCAAGGAAAATGTGTACAAATTTAAATAGACTGAGGAAGAAACTAAGGGACAAATTTAAGCACCGGCCCAAGACGGAAGGCCAGGGAGCTATAAATACAAAGTGAGATAGTAGGAGAGAAGCCTATAATAAGAAACCTCAAAGGCAAAAATGAGGTACAAAGATTTGGCACCTCGCTGCAGAAGGATAGTTACCTGCAGTAGTTCTTTAGCTGAACCTCTCTTCTCCACATCCATCTCAAGACAGCGGTTCAAAAAGTCCCGAAAAATAGCCGACAGTTTCTCTGGGTTTTGAAGCTCTGGGGTCCCATTGGTGGCAATGAGGTACAAGGCCTGGCAATACAAAGGAAGAGCCATGTTGTTGTCACTGAGGGATAAGTCCTCTAAAAATATGGTCAGCTGCAGTATGCTCTAGGACACAATGAGGCAGCTTTGATGTTCCACAGAGAATATACTAACCTAAGGATCAAGGTTAACATGTCAAGGCCATATGGCCATGTATCTACACCTAATATATAACTTCTTTGCTAATAAAACAATGCTTCATATATCCACAAAAATAAAGAGTGCATTTGGAAAGCACTTTGTACACTTCTAAGGTGTTACAAATCTAAGGGTTTAATCTTTTTCTTGATTACAGATACAAGGGGTTTATTACTCACTTAGCATGGTAAGTTAAACATCTCTTTAGTTGCTGGCACCAAACGCTGCTGACACCTTCACTGAACTCAGTCACCCAATAGGATTACAAAAAGGCATGTTTTGTTAGGCAGCAATTGTTTTTTTGCTGCTTCCCTACCCTTAACTTGAAGCAACTCTTGAGAAATGAAGTAAAACATAGTAACGAGAAGTTTTTATACACCAAGCTCTTCAATTACAAGGCTCTCTCTCTCTCTCTCTGAGACAGGGTTTCTCTGTGTAGCCCTGGCTGACCTAGAACTCACTCTGTAGACCAGGCCAGCCTCAAAATCACAGAGATCAACCAGTCTATACCTCCTGAGTGCTGGGATTAAAGGCATGTGCTACCACACCCAGCTGCACGGTCTCATTTTTAATGACCACAATAACTCTGAGTAAGAGACAGGGCAAAAATGACTATCCCAATTTCACACATAAGACTATATACCTGTTGCACTCACTGTTTGCCTGTACTCACTGTAATCCCAGTCTTATTTCTATCACATCACACTGATCACTTTCATATCCCAGGCAGAAGAGGATGTGGTACATGTGGAGTCAGAGAACAAAGCTGGGGCCAAAGGGTAGAAACTAAACAAAGCTTCACTTTGAGATAATGAAGCACTTTCCAGGAACTAAAGCTATCCAAGGGTGGCAATATGAACATGTAGTTAAGGGTAGATATCCCTTGCAGGGGAATTCCTGCACTAGATTGGAGGATGGATTAAATGAGAAAACAAAAGCAATCAAAAGAACCTCACAGTTGTCCACAATCAAAATCACCACCTTCCTTGCATCTTTGTTGCATACTCTGCTTTCCTCTCCCATTACAGAATAGAAACATGTCCACACTCGAATGCCCTTTATTTTATGTATCGTTCTTGCTGTCGCTATTTCTCTCTTGCAAATGACCATTTTGTTCTCTTCACTAATTCATTTCCAGTAGCAAACATACAACTTTTAGCCTACCCCTTCCCAACTCTACAAGACATTGTTCCATTTCTCTGTCACCCTTCATAACAAAATTCATATAGGAAGAGAAAAATATTTATAAATGCCATCTCAATTTCCTCCTTTTCTGTTCTTATGGGTTTATTCAAGTTAGGTATTTGTCCCTATCACTATACTAACTGCTCATTAAGGCCTTGCTGAAGGAAGTATGTCACTGGAGGTGGAGCTTAAGGTTTTCTTACTTGCAGTTTGTGGTTCATGTGTGGTTCCAGATAGAAGCTCTCAGCATCCTGTTCCTGCTGTCATTCATGCTACTTCCCTACTATCATGAAGTCTTATCCTCCAGGAACCACAAGCACAAATAAAATTTATTCTTCTGTAAGTTGCCTTGGTCACAGTACTTTAATCATAGCAACAGAAAAAGTAACTAATGCAAAGGGCAATTGAATTTCTCAAAATTCAGGCTATAGGGACTGTTGATTCCACTTTATCTTGTCAAGATACTTTCCAAGTCTACTTATCACCTGCATTCCTACCAGTGTCATCCAAGCTACTACTCTTGTCTGAACTATTTTATCAGTCTCTCACTGTATTTCCTAAAGAAGCAACCAACATGATTCATTTCATCCACAAACAGTGTCCTATTACTATTATCTAGCTGAAAATCCTTTCTAATGCTGCAAAATAAAATCCAAGCTCTCATACTGTCCCACAGGTCTTAGTGTCAGGTCCTTCCTTATCCCTGACTGGCTACCAGTCTACTTTCTCTTCAGTCCTTTCAGGGAAATAGCCTCCTTGATTTTCCTTGGGGCTCAATGAGCAAAAAATTAAATCAAATTCATAATGCTTGGAAACTCTTGCGTAAGACTAAATCTCCTTAATTTCTTCTGAAATAACCAATAAGAGAAAACTTCCCTCTACTCAATGAGCAAAAAATTAAATCAAATTCATAATGCTTGGAAACTCTTGCATAAGACTAAATCTCCTTAATTTCTTCTGAAATAACCAATAAAAACTTCTCCATTATTGTTTCAATTGTTCTTACTCTACATTTTTTCAACAGCAGTTGAAAAAAGCATATAATAATTTGGTATTATTATCAGAACAATATCTTGTATATAGTAGGAACTCAGCCCTTCCTCAGCCTATGCAATGCTAGGACTGAGCTCTAAAACTAAGCTATATCCCCAGACCCTGTTATATTTTATATTTTAAATTCAACAGTATCTAGGCGCTGGGTTATGTGTTACAATCATTTAGTGACTGTACATGTGTATGTGGGCACACAGCATGTATGTGGGGGGTTATGTGTTACAATCATTTAGTGACTGTACATGTGTATGTGGGCACATGTGAACCACACAGCACGTATGTGGGGATCAGAGGACAAATTGTAATAACTGGTTCTCTGTTTTCACCATGTAGGTCCCAGGGATTAAACTCAAGTCATCTGGCTTAGCAGTTAGAGCCTTAATTCAATGAGTCATCTCACCAGATCCCTTGGCCTCAAACCGGCAATCTTCTACTCTCAGTCTTTCGAGCCTAGGACTGTAAGAATATGTTACTATGCCCATGTATACAGTGAGAAGAACCTGAATCCAATTTCCTGGGATTTGAGACAGCAGCTCAAATAATTTGAAAGAAGATGGGAACACTTACTCTCAAAGGGTTTTCATTGAGGTATGGGGGCTCTCCCTCAATCATTTCAATTGCCATGATACCCAGGGACCAGATGTCAACCTTGGGTCCATAGGCCTTCCTTGTCACAACTTCAGGTGCCATCCAATATGGAGTTCCCACCATAGTGCTCCTTTTGCTCTGCTCTGGAGTTATCTGTGCACAGAATCCAAAGTCAGCTAGAAATGGGGAGAGGAAAGACACAAAGGATAGTACATCAGTAAGTGCTATGTATCTGCAGATGGTCATCAAGCTTTGCTCTGCAATCTGTCTCAGCAAAGCAGGAATAACTTGACTGCTATCAGTCCACTCCTCACTCAACCATGAAGAGAAGTAGGAGGAACATAAGAACAACATCTCTAGTCTCTGGCCTTCTCCTCAAACCAAATGGTCAAAGTGTTAAAGTCCAGCAGGCCATTTGGTCTTAACTGCTTGGCACTTATACATAAAAAACATTTCCATACCTCAGAATCTTGTAAGTAACTCATTCCATTATCTTCTGGACATAAGTTGCTGAATTAAACCCCAATCACCAACACTGAAATATCTGCCCTACTTTTATCAGCTTCTCACTCTATGCTAACGAAGTCTTCTATAAACTGTCTACCCACTATGACACAGTTTATCTAGATAACTGGTTTCACACCTTTGTGCAAAATGCAGTTCTTTCATATTATACTGAAACTACATATTGATTTAAATTGGCAGTGCCTTGAATAGTATTTCTAAAAGGACTGGCATATAATATTCAACAAATGGTTGCTGAATAAAGCACTGAATGAATGAAGTTACATAAAACTTTTTTTTCTAATTTATTACAGGTCTCTCATATGAAGCTAAAAGATATTTGAAGGCTGGTAAAATGTACCCTCAGAGTCTATGAGAGAACAACAGAAGTAGGCATTCAGTGTTTTAATGTGTAAAAGAATTGAAAAATAGTGAAAAAAATGCTGTAAGATAATAAAGACAAATATAAATATCCCATAATACCTTATGAAATAACAAGGTCTCTTTGGTGAATGTTACAGTTACTATTATTTAATTACCATCCCACCAAAGACACAGACCCACATATAGGAGCGTTATCATTCCTAAGACTCATACTTACTTAACTTGACAGAGCCATCCATTCCCAGCAGAATGTTGTCACTCTTGATATCTCTGTGAATGACTTGGTTCGAATGTAGGAATTCCAAAGCTTGTAGACACTGTTGAAGTAGTGTGCAAGAAGAAGAAACATATAATCAGAAGACTAACAATAATCTAACCTTCTCATTTTAAGATAAAGGAAGTAAGGCTCCCAGGAAGAGTCAGACCTGCCCCACATAAAGAGGCAGAGCCAGCTATATAACCAAATCTTCTCTCTCCCAACAAAATATTCTTTTAAAACATTATGGGGCAGGGTGTGGGTGGAGAAGGTTGAAGAGATGGCTCAGTGACTACACTAGGCAGCTTACAACTGTCTGTCACTCCAACCTGAGGGTATCCTATGCCTTTGGCCTCCTTGGGCATTCACATACATGTGCACTTAACCCTCCACCCAACACACAACACACACAACTTAAATTTTAATTTAAAACTGCATGCTGGCTTCGTCTTTTCTATCATTATATTTGCATGTCTAGGAAAGGAGACACATGGAAGTGATGTTTGTAGACAGTTTGGGGAAAGGAAGTCTGTATTATTTTGGACACAATGAATTTGACAACCCTATGAAACATGAAGACAAATGTTCAGTGGGCACCTGAATTTATCTTAAGTTCTATACAGAGACTGATATTTACAAATAATTTACAGAGACAGATTTTTTTTCAGCACTGAGAAGTGAAATATGGCCTCATAAATACCAAGCATACACTCTCTCACTGACCCACACTACCAGCTCAAATAGACTTTTATTTCTTTTTGGTTTTTCAAGACAGGGTTTCCAAAGCTTTGGAAGCTGTCCTGTAACTTGCTCAGTAGACAGGGCTGGCCTTGAACTCACGGAGATCCACCTGTCTCTGCCTCCTAAGTGCTGGGATTAAAGACATGCACTACCACTGCCGGGCTGCCGGGCTACAAATAGATTTTTTTTAAGGTTTAAAAATGATTAAAAAAAGAAAAGGTTATGAAAAAAATCTTAAAAAAAAAAAGGAAGAAAGAAAAGGAACAAGACAAAGCACCTATTGTGATGATTCCCCAACACATACACACGAGCTTAAACACTTATTTACCCAACAGAATGAGTGACAAATGGTACAATGAAAATGTCTGGTTCTGGGCAAGTAAGATGGCTTAGGGGGTAAAGGAGTGTGCCACCAAGCTTTATAACCTAAACTAGATTCCTGGAATCTACAAGCTGGAGTTGTCCTTTGACCTCCACATGTACACTATGGCATGTACACATCCACATACATGCATGCACACATACACATATACACAAATGCAAAGTGCAAAGAAATTGTTTTCTTTCTTCTCTTTTCTTTTTCTTTTTTCTTTCTTTTTTTTTGTTTGTTTTTTTCGAGATAGGGTTTCTCTGATCTATACTCTCAAGAAACCAATTGTTTAAAAGAAAAAAATCCATACCCTTTAATAGTCACTTCACAAATACACTGAAAATGGTGAATTATATGCTTCATGGGGATGAAGTATATGGCATATGAATGTATCTCAATAAGCTGTTTCAAAAGTGGTAACGATATCCATCATAGTTTAAGAATAACAATAGTACTTATTTAAATAACATTTATACTTTCTTGCCAAGTTTTTCGTTGGTACAGTTCTGGGGAGCAAACTCAGGGCTTGTGTCAAGATGTTATTTATTTTATTTATTTTTACTTGGAGTGAGGTGTATGTGTGCCACAGAGCACATCTGGAGGTCAAAGTACAATGTTGAGAAGTTGTATCTCTCCCTCCTTCATATGGGTTCCAAGGATTGAACTCAGGTCACCAGGCTTTCATCTCAAGGGTAGAGGTGAAAACAAGTTAAATAATGTAATGATTTTTGAACCTCCAAAGGGCAGCTATATGTACACAATTATCCATTGTATCTGTAGTATTAAAATTTCATAGGAAAAATGTTATGGGGGGGCTTCTGGGGAATCATCATTTATTTATTTGTTTGTTTTTGAGACAAGGTTTCTCTGTGTAACAGCTCTGGCTGTACTGGAACTCACTTTATAGGTTGGGCTGAACTCATAGAAATCTGCCAGCCTCTGCCTCCCAAGTGCTGGAATTAAAGGCATATGCCACCATATCGGTTTTCGCCTGGAGTCAATTTTTCCTAGAATTTTGCTGGCTTGCCTCTACATGTCATTCAGAAGCATATTCAAATCAAGGGTGGAACTTTCTCTGACTACCTATCTGAAGTATGACACTACCTTCTTACCAGCGTTATTTCTTTCACAGTACACAAAGCAGGGAGGCAGGAAAAAATGGTTCAAATGTATGTCCAAATGTATGTAAAAGAGATTAAGAGAAATATTATGTGTTAGAATAGCTGTAATTACAGATTTAAAGAATAAATGACTGCTTTAGTATATACTTCTGGGTACCTTTTAATTTTTCTATCATGGTTGGAATGTTAGCTTTAGAGAAAAATATCATGATTATAGAAATTATAAAATACAATAATATAGTATGAATGGTAAGTGCCAGAACTAACTTCTCCCAGTTCCACAGAACCCAGACTGAAGCCTCTTTTGGGTGTGAACATTCATGGACGGTAATATAGAGGTCACTTCCTGTTTTACCCTTGGCCTTACCTCTCGGCACACAGCTGCTATCTGGCCTTCATCCATACAGGTTTCTGTCACCACATCTGTCAAAGAGCCTCCAGCCAAGTATTCCATGACAACCCATAACTCATCTCCCACAAGGTAACTACAGGAAAACAAGTATAGGGCAAGAAGGAATAGTTAGAACACATTAAGGCATTGCAGTGGATTTCAAAACCAAGGGACTAGGATAGAAAGGAAAATATCTCAGTCAGCTTTTGAAGAGTCTAGGGTTCTTTACTCTGAGAAAAGTACAAAATTTGGAGGACATAATCAGTAATTTTAAATCACTTAGGGATAGACCTGGAAAAAACAAAACATACATGGTCTGTGAAGTCCCAAACACTAAAATTAGAATACTAGGTTGAAATATAAAATTACATTTTATTGAAATAGCAAGGGATACCTCCTAAAACTAGAAAGACTAGCATTGTTCTCATACCTGTAAAAGCATACAGGCAGTACATGTTATAGGGATGGGATCTGGAAGCCATATTACCATCAAAAGGGAGGATCATAGGACCTCCTTGAGAGTTCTACTAGATCTGAGATCTACAAGGTCTAGTTCAAGACCCTAGACCCAGGGTCCAACACAATAGATACCAACACTTACTGAATAAATCCATGAGTAAAATAATATGTATGTTAAATATATATTACTATAATATATATTAAGTGAAAGTGTGTCGATAAGTCTTTAAAAGCTGTAAAATGTACACAAGGTTACTACTATGCTGACAATGACTTTTATTTTGAGTTTCTAGGATTTTAGCCTCTTCTAATAAGCCAATGCTGTGGTTTGGAAGCCTGGGATGTTATAAACTGACCTGAGTTAGAACTGAATTTGACTCAGAGATTAGATCTCTCAGACCTATTACGTTAATAAAAGGTAACTTAACCCATCTGGTCAACATTATCTCACTGTAGACAAATGAAAAGAGGCTAATTGACTTATGTTAACCTTTTGCAAAGAAGCTATGCTGGCTTAAGGTATGAGATCTGTCATCTTTTCTTCATTCTGGTAATGGGTCTCTTACTTGGTAGATGGAGAAACTTTAAAGATTTTAATACATCTCAAATAAGATTTTAATCCTGTTCTTTTATAATTTTTTCTGGTGATGCTGGGAACCAAACTCAGAGCCTCATACATGCTAGCCAAGCATTCTATCATTGAGCTACATCCCAACCCAACAGTAATTTTTTTAAGGTGATGAAGAATAAATAGGACAAGTTAAAAATGGTGGTACATGCCTTAATACTAGCAGTCAGGAGGTAGAGGCTGGTAAGCTAAAATGTTCTGAATGCAAGTTGTTTAATGCAAGTTTATATAGGGGGATGGTAATACATTTCAGTTGACCACAAACTTACCAGTAGTTTACAATGAAACAGGCAAGGGGGATGGGGGGCAACAACTAGGTGCACTTTTCTTGAGTTTAGAAAAACAAATGAGTCCAATTCTTTTCATGGTGGTCTGATTTCAAAACAACACCCAGACTGGGGTGAGCATCATGATTTAAGAGTATATAGGCAACAAGGAGTTATTCAGGAAGGTGAGCAGGATGAAGAAATGCTTGTAATATAGAATGAAATAAAAACATCAGGCAGATGGACTGAAAAGGCAAACTTCCCTAAAGCAGAAAGCACAGTAAAAGAATCAGTTGTTCGAAACTGTGGGGTGGTGGGGTTAATCATCACCCAGAAGGATTTTCCAGCAATCAAAGACCTCAGCACAGAAAATACTTAAATGGAAGCAGTTCCAAATGCTGGCTTCATTTTCTCCTCTAACACATTGGTCTGAAAATTCTGACAGGACCCACCCACTCCATACCTGTCCAGATAGTTCACAATATTTGGGTTTTTGTTTTCCCTCATGACCAGGATCTCATTAATAATCAGCTCTTTCTTCGGCTGCTGCTGAAGATTCATCTGTTTAATGGCCACCTGAAATAACAGTACATTCAATGTACAACAAGGGACACACAACATTTACTGAGCATATATTTAGCACTACACCTTAAGTACTAAGGAAACAATGAAGAGTAAGACATGGCCTTAGCCTTAAAGTAATTCATAACTCATCAATATTAAACTCAGCATTTAACATCATCTCAAAGACTGTTGGAAAAAATGTTTTCAGATGCCACTACAAACTTATTGAAATAAAAAACTGTTTTAGTAAGCCCCTGTGCTATTCTGACATACATCAAAATTAAATCCTCATTATAAAAAAATGATGGGGGATGTCCTTCTCTATGCTGTGAATATGTTTCTCTTACTGGTTGATGAATAAAGCTGTTTTGGCCATGGATGGGTAGGGATTTAGCCAAGTAGAAATCCAAACAGGGATAGAGAAAGTTAGTAGGCAGAGTCAGGGAGATGCCATGTAGCTGCCGAGAAAGCAAGAGGCTCAGGAATCACCAGTAAGCCAAGACCATGTGGAGTTACACAGATTAAGAGAGAACCCGGGTGTTGGTCGCACACACCTTTAATCCCAGCACTCGGGAGGCAGACGCAGGCGGATCTCTGTGAGTTCAAGGCCAGCCTGGTCTACAGAGGGAGTTCCAGGTCAGCCAAACAATTTATAATTAATATAAGCCTCTGTGTGTTTATTTGGGACTAAGCAGCTGTGGGACTGGGTGGGACTGAAACTTCCATCTACAAAAAAAAAAAATACTTAATTAATATAAGCCTCTGTGTGTTTATTTGGGACTAAGCAGCTGTGGGACTGGGTGGGACTGAAACTTCCATCTACAAAAAAAAAAAAAATACTTAAAAAAAAATCATTAGATAGAGAGCTGGTACTGCCTATTATCCCAGCACCCACGAGGCTGAGATAGAATTGTACACTAGTTACCAGCCTGGCTCTTCTGTCTTTTCAAAAATGTTAATAAAAATCAAAAACAGCTATGAGAAGTTCAAAGAAGTTAATTTAAAAAATAGAGTAATAGTAAGTTCTGAGTATGGGGCTGGAGAGATGGCTTAGTGGTTAAGAGCATTCACTGCTCTTGCAGAGTTCTCCAAACACTCATATTGGGCAGCTCACAACAACCTGAAATTCCAGCTCCAGGGGTCTGATGTCCTATCTCAGAAGACTACCAAATTAAGAAAGATTCCTAATGTTTATATGTGAAAAGGGGTTTCATGGGCTCTTTGTTTAAATAAATAAGACAAAAATCCCACTTAATCACTTAATACAAATAATAAAGTATACATTAGATTTTTAGGTATTAGGTACTCTTCTAAATTGTTCACAAATTC